ATTTTATAGTCTGTCTATAGTCTATACCAAGTAAACATCAGATTAACTATTTTATGCACAATTTTTTCACATATCTAGTAACTTGGAGATTTGTAAACCGTGTAAAGGAAGTATGTCTTTAAATTTTGTTTTGTAGGAAGAATACGACACATATGACGATCCGTTTGTCCAGCTGCCATTGGCATGGAACAGAAGGAGGATTATTGAGATTGTAGCTGCAAGAGATTTAATATTTGCACTTGCCGAATGTGGTCTTTGTGGTGCATTCAATCGCAGTAAGTCTCATTCTTCTACACTAGTCGATTTTGCTCTGTTATTTACGTCTGTTGTGTTCCTGATAAACCTTCTCATCATGTTGGCAGCAACGAACAAGCGCATATGCCATTTGAATATAAGCCCGGATGAGGTGATTAGGAGTCTGTTCTATAATAAGAACAACGACTCACTTATCACTGTTTCAGTTTATGAATCAGATCGTTACAGTTCACTGAAGTGCAGAACAACTCCAATAGAGTAAGTGACCTTATCTATTTCTTCTCAGGCTAGTTTGTGGTAGTTTTAGTGCAAAACTGCTATCTTCTTTACTAATTTATCTTCTCTCATTTCAATTGCATTTTAGATACATCCGGAGAGGCCAGCTACATGATGGATTTCCTTTATTTGAAACTGAATCGCTGAAATATCCTGGCTTTGTTGAGTTTGATGATGTTAATGGCAAAGTATTGACTTTTTCTGCACATGATAGGTAAGTTGCATTTTCTGCATTACAGTTTGGCAGCAGTCATATGTTGAATTGTTTAAATGTCCCCTTGTTGCAGTACCTACAAGGTTTTTGATCTAAAGAATTACAACTTTCTGTATTCTATATGTGATAAGGACATCCAGGAGATAAAGATAAGGTTTGCTTGTTGCTAATTACTGATATTATTCATCCTTGACGTAAATAGTTGATGAAATGTTCTTACATTCATGAATCCTCTCTCACCAGTCCTGGGATCATGCTTGTTATATACCAGAAGGCAAGTAATCATGTCCCACTAAAGATATTGTCAATCGAGGATGGAACAACACTGAAAACCTTCACTCAGTTGCTGCATCGAAACAGAAAGGTTGACTTCATCGAGCAGTTTAACGAAAAGCTTCTTGTGAAGCAAGACAAGGAAAACCTGCAGATTATTGATGTACGTTGCTATTATTATTTTGTCTCGTGGCAGCTACATTGCTACCTTAATTTGAGCTAACGTTTTCTTAGCAGTGAACTATGAGCTAACTTTGGTCTCTGGGCAGGTCAGAAACTCTGGTCTGATTGAGGTCAACAAAACGGAGTTCATGACCCCTTCAGCGTTCATCTTCCTGTATGAAAATAATCTGTTCCTGACATTCTGCAATAGAACGGTTGCTGCTTGGAATTTCCGCGGAGAGCTAGTTACATCATTCGATGACCACGAGTTGTGGCATCCCAACTGCAACACCAATAATATATACATCACCGCCGACCAGGACTTGATCATCTCGTACTGTAAAGTTTCAGGAGGCGGCACAAATGACGCTGATGATGAAGGCCGGGAAGGTAACAATTTCGCTGTGCATTGGTTTTACATGCTAAGACCTGCTGTTTTCAGTATAGCTTCAACCTGACTGAATTGCTGCATTCATCATGGCTTTGACCTGACTGAATCCCATCCTCAGGTTCCCGGATGGGATCGATCAACATGAGCAACATCTTCACGGGGAAGTGCGTTGCCAAGATCTCGGCCCTGGACCCGACCCTCATGATCGCTCCCCGGAGAAAAGGCGACACCAGCAGGTCCACCATCCGGAGCAGCGTGTCGGACGCCCTGGAGGACATCACGGCGCTCTTCTACGACGAGGACCGCAACGAGATCTACACCGGGAACAGCAGGGGTCTGGTGCATGTGTGGTCTAATTGATCAAGTTAGTCTCTTCGCCGCACATATCAGCCCCCCAATCTCTGTACATACACTTGTACCTGCATTTGCATTCCCTTGTCGCATACACCAGTCAATTGTAATGGCCACTCCGGTGGTCGGACTATAGTGGGTGGGATTGTACCTTGACTTGTTTTGTGTTGTTATTACACCATTGGTTAGAGTAATAAATAATAATCTGATGTGTAGATTGGTTTTCGCTGACCTAGAATGATCGTTGGCTGTAGATAGTTTTTTCCCTTTTTGTTTCAAATATGAAGTTTTCCCTCTGATGGATCATGTGTGCTGTGTGCTACCTTGTCTATCCATGGTGCTGGTTGTGTATGTCTTGCCATAGCTGCTGTGTCAATATCGCTGTTACAAGAGGTTAAAAAGAAGCTTGTTGCTGTAAGAAGGGAGCGTCGGTACACCCGACTTGCAAGTGGATGGTATTCTGTCGGTGCAGCAACAAATGTTGCCGGTACACTTGCAAGTTTGTTGCAGCAGTGCAGTGTGGCAACAAATCTTGTCAGTAAATATTTTCTGTCAAGCCAAGCCCATCTTTGGTGGTATGTATGGCATCTGCAAGTGGAGTATGGCGGGCAGCATTGCAAATCATCCCAGCAACTTGTAGTTTTCAGCGAACGCTAAGCCTTGGTTGCTTACCGGTTTTCTCTTTTCGATTAAGCCACTTAGTTTATTAGCCACCTCTGAATCCTGCAAGCAAAAGGCTAGGCCTCTTTTTAATTTAGAGGAATTTTTTAAAGAATTCTGAAGGACAGGCATTGTAGGAGATATTATTATTTTTATGGAAATGGAAAAATTCTTTCGACGCCCTTTGGTTTGTCTCTGGAAATGAATTCCTATTCCTATGCAGGATAGGAACAATCTCTTCTCATTTCAAAGGAAAAAACAAGCCTAAACCCAATGAGAAAGTTTCTATCTCATGGATCAAATGACACCTCTTTTTCTACAAAAAACCGAGGTACACGTCATGTTATTGGTCTATGGTTTTAGTTTTCCTATCCCTATTCAATGAATCAAATGAGGCCTTACTGTTTGTTTGGTCATTAGTTTCAAGATATAATAACATAAGCTGCCGCAAGCCTTGCAAGGCACTGCAATGTGCAGTGCAGTGGGCACGCACGGTGGTGCTCCGTGACGCCGCAGCATTTGCACGACACGCCCCTTTATCATTTTGTTAGTAAACTGCTCCATAGGTGAAAGTGTCCATCTACCCGCGAACTCATTTGCACCCACTATAAATAGTACTCCCTCAGTCCCATAATATAAGAACGTTTTTGACACTAGTGTAGTGCCAAAAGCATTCTTATATTATAGGACACAGGGAGTAGTAAAAGAAAAAGAATAAAATTATCTAAATTATATCTGGCAATAAACATTGATGGATTTTTCTACATAGCTACAAATTTTCGGGAAGAAAAAAATATCCGTAATTTTCTAAAAAAATAAAATCAACGCTCCAAAACACTTTTAAAATTAGTCTTTAAGAATGCTCTTCCTTCATGGAAATTTGTACTTGTGTGGACAATTAATCAAGATTTGTTGATTATTTTAATATCTTCTAAAATTTTCTGTTCCCTTGGATTCATATTAATTGACGCTGGTTTAGGAGTATAAAGTTTGAGCTGGCGACTGTGTCCACTAGCAGAGCAATTTTGTGCGGCGTAAGTGGCACTGGCAATGGCACGTCATCGTGTGGAAGCGGTGCGCACGAGGACCCCATCACATCGGACATGGGAGCCGTGGGTAGATTCCGCCCTGGAAAAGAAAGGAAGGACGTCTTGCACGGCCTGCCCGCCCTAAATGATTGAGGCCTCCCAGTAATTAATCACAGTAAGTCTATATCTATTTACCTACTAATAAAGCAAGGTGATATTCTTGGTTTCGTCCCGCATCTGATTCTATGTTACATGAAACACACGAGGTGGTACTAAACCGCAGAGCCAAGTTTCGTTAAAAAAGGTTTCGGGCCTGCGTTCCTTTGCTTGGGTCATACGTACATCAATTTTCATCAATCTATGTAAATTGCATGGGCCGACCTGGGCCTAATCCACATATTAATTTTGACGTTCCGGAGGAGAGAAAAAAAGACCAGCCATGTGAGATTCAAACTCAGGACTTCACCGGCCGAGCCGAGGACAACAGCAAATCGACTCTTTTCAGGAATAAAAAGGTTCCTCATATAATAGTCACACCTTGATATTTTATATCAAAGCTCACCAATTTAAGAAACAACGTGCCAGAGGAGAAGAGGGGGCATGCACGACACAAGCATATGCTGGATTGGCTCTAATTACAAGGATTTGTGGGCTTGGCATTGCCTGATTGGCTCTGATTAAATTAAATGAGACCAGAGGACATGATAAAAAAGACATGATAAAAGCATATATGCAGGACCCGGCCCTAATAAAAGCATATATGCATGATAAGACATGTACGCTGGTTGTGGCTCTAATAAATGAAATTGTGGGCTGCCATGACTTATTGGTATGCATGCAGAAAGAAGTGTGCATCAGGAGAAGAAGACACTGAAAAAACCAAATCAATGTCATTGTATTAATCCATCTTGCAAGGATAGTCATGCTGGAAATATCGAGGCATCAATTTTCTCTCCCGTTGCAACGCGCGGGCATTTATGCTAGTAATAATAACGAATCAATCAGTGCGTCAACTTCACGTGACCAACGGATTCATCGCCCGTCACTCCGCTTCGCTCCCGACACCTGAGAAACAACCCACACGCCCACGGCAGGCCAATAGTCCCACTGACACCAGGGACCCACGGACGTCGCCCCCACCCGTCAGCAACAGCCTTCCAAGCCACACCACCTACCGTGGGGGCCCCGCCCCGGCCCCTCTCTCTCTCTCTGTCTTATCTCGAAGCCGCCGGGAAAAAGAAACGAACGCAACAAGAGACACTCCTCCCTCCCCCGTCCGACTCAACAGCAATCGCCAAGCACGCGGCGCACGTCTCCCTCTCCCCCGCCGCGGGCTAGACGCAGACCAACCCGGGAAGCGAGGCGGGTCGCCGCCGCCCTAGGGTTTCCGATGGAGCCCGCGGCCCCCTCCGCGTCCTCGGCCTCGCCGGCCGCGTCGCCGGCGGGGAGGCGGAGGACGGCGCCGGAGGCCGCGGAGCTGAGGGTGCGGCGGCGGACGCTCGAGACCGTGCTCGAGCAGTGCCAGCGCGCGCTCGAGCTCATGCGCGACGCCGAGGGGGAGGACGGGGATCCGGAGGAGGAGGACGAGGAGGAGGGGGAGGAGGGGGAGCGGGATCCGGAGGACGAGGGGGAGCGGCGGGCGGGCGGCGACGTCAGCGATGGGGAGGGGCAGCCTCCGACGCCGGAGCCGTCGGAGACCGACTACGAGACGGACGAGGTGAGGGACATCTCCCTTAAGCACGATTTGGTGATCCGTTGGAGGAGATGCGATGCGAGAATTGGGACTATTGCGATGTTGATGGGTTGGATCGAGTGGCGACTTGGGACGATTGGGGGTCCTCACAACTGTAGTGATTTATTCCTTGTCGATTATGATAGCAATCGTTTGGCTCAACTGCCTTTCGTATTTGTCTGGGCGCTTAGCTAGTTGTTGTTTTCTTCTTAACAATCAAGATGCAAACGAGTAAACTGGTGTCTGTTTTTGTGTTCCGAAACATGAGATGAAATGCATGAAGCAAGTAACTGGGTGACACAATTTATCTAGCTAGCATTTGATTTGCCAAACTTAATACTAGTAAGTACTGTAGCTGTTTTGCACCTTCAAAAGTAAGCACATCACAACAACTACATTTGATTCGATGGTCCGTTGGAGAATTGGGACTGCGATTGCTTGATGGGCTCGATTGATTGGCGACTTGGGACAACTGGTGGGTCCTCGAAACTGTAGCGATCTACTGCCTTGTTGGAACTGCGGTGGATCATAACAGTACCAACTGCCTTCACTTTTTGGTGCTTGGCTAATTGCTTCTTTTCTTATTAATGATGGTAAAACGAGTAAACTAGTGTATATATTATCCTGTTCCGAAACACATGACAAGGAATGTTTGAAGGAAATAATTGGATAACAGAACTTACTTTTATCATTTGATATGCCAAACTTAATAACTGACGTTTTGCACCTTGAAAAGTAAGCACATCACAGCAACCATAACTGAGCCTTTGGTTGGATAGAATATGGCAGTACCCTGGAATTAAGCCAAATTCACATGAATTCGTTTTACTGTTTCAATCGACTGAACTGTTCTCTGCTATTCTTGGATATCAGTTTCTGAGGTGATAGTAAAGATGAGACTAGGGAGAGAGGGAATGAGAAAAAGGAGCTTCCAGTGTACTTTATTTTATGCCTTCTGTTCTGAAACTTTCTTAACCTCTCCATTTACTTACGCAGCTGTGTAATCTTCTCAAATCGAGGGTCGAATCACCTGAATTTCTAGAAAAGCTTGATAACATTCAGAAGTCAGTATACCAACATGGTGCAGGTGCGCATTTGCCCAATGAACTGTCATTTCTTTGTTGTCTCCAAATTTGAACAATACGTAAACTGACCTTGCCACTCCATGCTGCAAATGCATGTTTATTCGCTCATTGAAATCAAACCTGTCAACTAAACAGTTCTGCCATTACTCATGTAACAGTAGATGAAACCATATCATGGGATATCGTAAGCGCAGCAGATATATGGGATGATAAGAGTATGAATGTCAGTGATGATTCAGAGGATGGATATGTTCTAGTTAAGCAAGAGGATATAGTTGATGGGATTGCATGCTTCATGGCTGCATACCTGCTGTCGCTGAAAGAAACTAAGGTATGCAAAGTTCAGTTCACCTTTGGTTCGTGATTTCCCTTGAATTTTTGGTGTACTTCGCTTTTCTTATGCAGTCCTTCATGAATATCAGTCTCAGTGTTCAAATGTCCATGAAATCTTGGATTCTGAAAAAAAATGTTTATTTTACAGTGATTATTGAGGTTCTGGATAATTAAATAGATTCCTAGAAGTGAAGAACATTACTTAGTGGGATCATGGATTATCAATAGTTCAGTATGGTATCTACTCTTGTTGCAGGCTTCACAGTTCACACTATTGTCCGTTGTACCATCTAGATCAACATGGGAAGGCCCGTCAATATTCCTTATTTTACCTTGACTGCTAGTAGATTGTACTTATCATGGAAGAGTATTTCATACCGCTCATTGATTTGAAATCTTCGTACTTCTAATGCTGGAAATTTCATGTTCTGCAGGAATTGACGCCCAATCAACTTCAAGAAGGTAACCTTCTCTTTTCCATTCTTAATTCAAATGGGTTGGTTGTAAGTTTTCTTATGTTTGATTCCCCACCCTTCAATTTTTCAGCCCTTAGCAAGACATTTTCAACTAAAAAGAGGAAAGGCAAACTTCAGAAGGCATGGGCCGGAACACAAGTTATTTATAATGTAGCATCATGGAGTGCAACAGCTATTGGGTAAGTTAAAATCCTTAGTAATGGGTAATTACAAGCACAATTTCTGTGTAATAGTACCATGGTGGAGCTGTCAGGGTAAGCCTCACGTCCTTCTAGAGGCTCCCTGGAGCTCTACCCAAATAATCTGTTCTAGGGCCCTTGGGAGGAAAAATTGCTTCCCACTAAAGATTGAAAAGTTAGGACAGAATGCCATCAAACTAAATGGTCTGTAGGCAACAAACGTAAACAAAATCGCACCTCAGGGAAACTGGACATGATCACTTCACTTCATGAACAAACCATACACTAGATTAGTTAGTTGCATCAATTGAAGTTCTACATTGATCGAATACACCTTTTCAGCATGCAAACTTCTGTAACAATATGTACAACAAAATTAGTTCCTGCACAATATTGTGCTACAGGCAGTAACATAAATTTGAGGGCATCATTTCGCATGATCACACAACTCCAATAATAATTTTTATGTCCACATGGGTGTTTGCATTTCCTGATTCTTCCCCCGTGTCACTCTCTTGCAGTATCTACCAGAATCCGGCGATTCTAAAAGCAGCAACAGCGGCCTTCTGGACATCCTGCCGCGTGGTGTCCAAGTTCCTGTGAATAGTCATGAGATCCTGTACACATTGTATGATAATACGGACTTCCCTGTACCTCCATTGTGGGAAGCACTGTTGTCAAACCCTGGCACGATGCGATCATCGTAGGTTACTTTCAACAGTTAGATCATGCGTCAGCTCAGAGTGAATAACGAGACTGGCTGATCCTTAGTGTCTGTCTGATCTAGCTGCTGAGTGTAGCTTCCTGTGTGTTTTACTTGTATCATTCATTTGTATCCGACCTCCGATTGTGATCTCCTCCTTGTATATATCAGCTGTACGACTGAACTGAAACCTGGCCGTGTTCCGTCCAACTGTAAATACACCGATTCGTTTGAGTGACGTGCTCGGCTCATCATGTGTTCTGCTGCTCCTTTTTTCACCTGGGAGCTGCGTCGTTGTCACTCTGAACCGAACTTTTTTTATGGACAATCTGAACTGAACTTAGATGGCACCGTATATCATAAGCATTTTCTATGTAAAGATAGGTTCTATTTTCACCATCCCATCCTTGATTACGAAACTAAAGATTGGGCCTACAAACATATATAAAACTTGCTCTTTTCTTCAGAATGCTGATCTATAATGGAGCGGTTCTTCAATATCTGTATGTTGAAGCATATGTTTGCTTAGAGCATCTCCACTCATTCGTTCCCCGAGCGCACCCGGGGATGGCGTTTTGGCCCATGCGCCGGTGGTTTTTTCGCCTCGGGGGCGATTCAGTTTCCAGCCGCGCCCCCAGGTTTCGGCCCCAAGGCACATAAATTCAAATTTGTCTTTTTCCGCTGCCAGAGAAACAAGACAAGTTCGGCAATCAAACGGCGATCTGCCACAAAGTTCGGCGATCACCATGCCACAGTTTGGTGATCAAACATACTCGAAAGTTCGGTCCCCAGGTTTCGGCCCCAAGGCACATAGATTCAAACTTGTCTTTTCCCATTGCCAAAGAAACACCACAAGTTCGGCAATCAACGGCGATCTGCCATAAAGTTCGGCAATCACCATGCCACAGTTCGGCGTTCAAAAAGAAGGACGCGTAGACAAAGGAATTCATCAAACAATGGGCTCCTTCGGCGTGGGACTGGCCGACGCCGGCGTGGTCGGCGTGGCTTCTATGCTCGGGCTGGTCGGCGTCGGCGTGGCTTCTATGCTGGGCGTCGTCGTGGCATCATCACTCGGGCTGGGCGGCGGCGTTGGGGTCGGCGTGAGCGTAGGCGCGGTCGTCAAAGGCATCTGGTTCAAGATGAGGCCGCGCTCCGCCAAGTACTAGGCCTTGACCTGCTCGTTCAACGTTGGCATGTCCGCCCCCATCCAAGAACGCCAGGTCGGTGTTCCTCTTCTTCGCGGCGACGTTGGTTCGGAGTAGGTTGAGCTTCACGTCCTGCTTCATCATCAACGCCGACCACCGCGCGTCGGATTTCTCCTCCCTCTTGGCGGCGTTGTTCTCTGCTCAATCGACGATTGTAGCCGCTCGGTAGCCGGCGCGGCGTCCTTCGCCGTCTTGGCTCTTTTGTTGCCGTCAGGGTGCCCATCCCCCGCCCCCGGGGTGGGCGCGTCCGGCTTGTACATCTCCTTGGCCTTGGCGAGGGTGCGCCGGACATCCCTCCACTTCTCACACTTCTCGATCCAGAAGAACACGTGGAGGAACTTGAACTCTTGGTCGCTGCTATCATGGCGGTACATGGTGAACATCCGAATCATCTGCGCAGCCGAAGAACAAGTGTCGGCAACGTACACGGCAAAAAGAAGCGAGAGTCGGCGGCTGCACGTACTTGACCCTCGACGTTGACGCCGCTTTCCGGGCGAGCCGCGATCTCCTCGACGATCCCATGCCATTTGTTGCAGGTCGTCTGGATGATCGCCCAATGGTTCGACTGGCCTTTGCACCGCGCTGCATGTGGTTGATGGCGAAGTAGGGATCGACAAGCTTGCGCTCATCGAACACCGACTTGATACGCGTCCAGTACGTATCAGTGTTCTGGTTCACACCGGTGACCAGGTCGATGCTGACGGTCTTCCATGCTTCGACGAGGCACTCGTCTTCTTTGGACGTTCACTTGACCCGCTGCTCCCCCGTCCTGGCCTTGCCTCCTGCTTCTTCCTTTTCCCTTCCATCGCCGGCGCCGGATCCACCTCCTCCTCCTCCTCCTCCTCGGCATCATTGAGCTCAGCGTCCATGTCGCCAATGGTGTCCATTGTGTCATCTTGCGCGTGGAACTCGAGGTAGGAGGCGGCGGCGACCAAGCCTCTCATGATGATCTCTTCCATGTCGGCGTCCATCGGGTCGGTTTACTAAAATGCGTCGAGGCTTGTGAGAAGGGCAGGGTGCCTAGAGGCGGCGTCGGTGAGGTTGTGTACGCCGGCAGCGAGTAGGTGTACTGGGGGTACTGGAGGCCGGCGAACGCGAGCGAGGGAGTGAGCTAGTCGGGGTTTAGACCGAAGGGTGAGGCACGCTGGCCATGTGGGAAGGTGATGTTGGCGTTGAATCCACCATGCGCGTCGCCGTCGGAGTAGCCAGGCGAGGGGACACAACCCCAGGGCGGCGGCAGCAGCAAGAACTTGGCCGGCGAAGCGACGCTTTGCTAGCTCCACGCAGCTTGCGGGCGGTGGCCGCCGGGCGGATTCACCATCCCCGTGCGAGACACCTCTACCTGCTCCGCCGCCGCCGCCGACACGGCCGTGTCCCGGGCCATCTTGGCATTGAGCATGTTCCGCCAGTCGGTGGTGACAACCTCCCGGCGCTGAACCTCCGCCCTCCACTCGGCGTTCGACATGCCCGACGGTTTTGCCATCGGCGTCTTTGGCTTCCTCTGCTTTGGCTGGGTGGAATCGGCAGCGGCCATGGCGCGAGGGGCCGAATACTTTTTCGGCCGCGAGCGGGAGGAGAATGGCGGGAGCAGAGGGGCGGAAGGGGGGAAACAATGAGAAAATGAAGGGAAAACTGCGGGACGGCGGGAAAAGGCCTGTCTGTCGCTGACAGAGCAGACCCACACTCCTTTTCACTTGGGCCGGCGCCCCCAGGCGCCCCCCCGGGGCTTGGTTCGCCAGCTGTTATTCGGCCCAAACTGGCGAGAAACAAG